CAAGAAACAGCATCGAACTTAGGTCAAATTTACATAGACCAAAGATGGTTTTATCGTGAAGAAAATTAAAGCGAATGGCGGAGATCGGAGACTACAAACACTATAGGTGACCAAAAAATTATCGGGGACCATCATAGCTGTTCTGATCTTTCATCGACGCCGTCGAAACACGATCCCATTTCTTTAACCTTGATCTATGAATTAGCATCCTAATCCGAGCATTGCCAAGTGCAACAATCACAAAGGAGAAGCTCTTGTTGTGTTAGCATTGATTAATAGAAGCACCAAGTTTAGCAAAAGATTAGCTGTGTCCAATGCAAAGATCAGAAGGTGCAGTGGGTCAGAGTTTGGTTGAGGCAATGGGAGATGGGGAGGCGTCACCTAACGGAGATGATTCTCTCCCTGCAAAAGATGAGAAGGAGCCATAAATGAATTCAGCTTTCCAAGTCATTCCTATTTGACTATTATTATTTTGACCTGTTTTGCTCTATCGCTTCCAAGGCAAGGCACCGGGAAAAAAGCTGTGGAGATTATAGATTAGATCTGAGAAGGTTAGGGAGGAAAAATTTTAGGTGTTTTGGAGTGGTCTATGTCATCCATTGTGCTGATTGTAACATGAAATGCTGATATTCTGAATTGAGTTTTTATCTTATTTACCCGAATTTCACAACAACAAAAAAAACAACAAGAAGAAGAAGACTGAAACTGATTCTTGAAAACAAACTGATTCTTGAAAACAACATTTGGACACTAGTGTTTTTCTCGGGTCGTTGGCAGATCTGGCAACAATTGGTAATCGACTAATTTTTAGTGGGTGCAAGAGCGTTCTGTCCCGATCACATGAGGGTAACTATAGAGTTATAGGTCCATGACTCTTGGGAACTCAAGTGTTTTAACAATTATATAGTTGAAACTCATTCTTAAGATAATTTTGATATTTTTTTATGTTTACATTGTATGTAAATCGATATTCGAACGCATTTTATAGCGAACGATGGTTTAGGTGAAAATTCATAAACCATTTAGAGCTGCATAGTAGGTTATGGCATTGAGGGATTCCTAGCTCATACAATAAAGATTACCTAAACAAATCTTACAAACTGCATGCAAAGTGTTTTGGATCATATCGCACGAATATATCAAAGTCAGTATACATTCTTCATGAAAATACTTCTCCTAAGAATAAGATGATTTTGCTAGTGAGCCAAGCACTTGGACGAAGGCAAGACTTAGGCCCCATTTGGTAACGTGCCAAATAGTGAAAATTTCTGTTCTTTTGTTCCCAGAAATAGTTTGGGAACAGAAATGCGTTTGGTAAATTTTTTGTTCCTTGGCACATTTTTGCAAAAATTTGTGCCGAGAAATAGTTTTGGAAGAGAAACAAGAAGTAAAAAAAAGTTGCTTCTTGTTTCTCGGCACAATTTTGAGAATCAGTTTTTTTTTTCTTTTTCTTTTTTTTCTTTTCTTATTTTTGTGTTGTTCTTCCCTTAGGTTGGGCCGGCACCGGCGACGGCCCAGCCCCAGGCCGGCGAGGGCGTCACGGCCCTCGCCGGCCGCCGGCGGAGCGAGGTCGCCCTCGCCGGCGAGGCGAGGCGGACCCTCGCCGTCTCCGGGCGAGCCGACCTCGCCGTCGCGACGGACGGCGAGGGTCCAGCCCTCGCCCTCGCCGGCGAGGGCGACCCTCGCCTCCGCCGGCGGCCGGCGAGGGCCGTGACGCCCTCGCCGGCCATGGCCAAAGAAGAAAGTAGAAAGAAAAAAAAATTAAACAATTCAAAATATTATTAAAATATTATTTGGGAACAGAAATTTTGTGTAGTTACCAAACGCATTTCTGTTCTTTTCTACTCTAGGAATAGAAATTTTGGACAGTTTATCAAACGCCTTCAAATACTCAGAAATTGTTTCTGGGCACAGAATAAAAAAAAATCATTTCTGTTCAGAAATAGCGCCCGGGCACAAAATGGTATTCATGCGCACCCTTAAAGTTCTTCAATCAAATGTCAAAGGAGTGTCTTTTTTAAAAGGAATAGTTGGGTAACCCTAGTGCATGCTATAAACTTAATCAAACGCGAAATCCATAAGTGTATCCATAATCAAGAGATGGAAAGTAAGCTCCTGATAAAATCGATGATATGATTGTGGACAGCAGATGATGCATGTAAGGTCCATTTTGTAATTAGAATTGGTTATCAGGTGGGTTAGGATTGGGCCCAATTTGTTGCTCGGACCTGCCACCAACAAAAATTTATACACGGTACTGTTCGGGAAGTGGGCCTGCCTCATGCCCAATCGGGCCGGCCAAACTTCACCACCAGATGCTTAGTTCCAAATGCTTCCACATTGAACCTTTCGGCCATCTGGTTCGCGCGAGCTCGTGAACTATCGGGTCCATGATAAAATTCTAATTTAAACCGGGGTACGCTCTCACCGAATTGATTGTAGCAGATGTAAACAATTTAGGTCCATGACCATACCCGAGGGTAAAGGGATGTCTTACATGAGGTCACAAATTCGTGTCACGTAGAGAGTGCATTGATTAGCTTGTGCTATGGGCATCAGTTTAGCTCATGTGGAGCCATTCTCTGGTTTTTGGCGCTCTGGTGAGCTCCGGTGACGGGATCGTCGAAGCCGCACCCTTGTATTCAGGGTAGGCTAAGTAATCATGAATCGAATTCAACATTTCCCGACGGTGCGAAACCCTCATGCTAACTTTAGAGAAATAGCTGGTGCACTGATGGTCTTTTCCGCACCCTTAGACAATCCTCAAACTTCTCTTTCTAACTCCAATTAGGTACACAAAAATCCCAAAAGCTTTGATACGCTCCTTATCGTTTTTCTTTTTGGGGGGGGTAGTAAAATGAAGTTGTGATGCTTCTGATCAGAATGACTCTGCTTCTTTTGCGGGTACGTACAAACACCAATGCGTTCATAATAAGGACTCCACTTCCAAACATCTTTCGCTTCCTTCTTCCATTGAAGAACTCATGGGACGTCACCAAAACAACCACCCGTCAAAGATTCCAAGACTTTTTTGGTCAAAGATCCATTGAAAAGACCCCATGATGTGGGATTTTCCTTATGTACATTAAAAAAATTCACTGATTTGCAACCTTAAAGCGTGTTTATTTGAATGAAAATCTTTTTTTCGATAATTTGCTTTTTGAACTTACACGCGTTTGTTTTCTTGAAACTGATCGATCAACGGAGAATCATTTACGGTCAAAGAAAATATGCATGCTTAAGATTAGGAAAATTAAATCCCTAACTTGAAAAAGAGAAAACATTTTCCTGGAAAAAGGATTTCCTGAAAAATAAACACACCCTCAACGATAATTCGTTTTGCAGCATATTAATCACCTCCCAATCAGAAATTGTCAATACCCACTGAATCTTTCAGTCAAAGACACAACTTTTCTGCTTCGGCCGTTCCACTTGTTCAAGCGGGCCAGTTGAATGTGAAAGATTCAATTACGTAGAGCCTAGGGAGATGGAGGAATAGTAGTTTGACAATTAGCCATTTAAGCTCATTCGAGGTGAGATCAAAGTTTCTCGGAAAAACCACGATTCGACAAGTATACCTCGACGATGAATGATGTGACAATGGCTCACTGGCATACGAAGAGATTCTCCAACTACGTACGAGGCCCTAAAGATGCAGATGAAATTAGTTGATTTGGATCATATGCGGTGGATATTGCTATTGGCTCGTCATGACCATTTAGGAGAACTTCAATTTCCTCAAAGTCCTCAAGATGTATTTGCTCGAAACAAATATTATTTGGTGACTTCGGAATATCACCTTTCACTGTTCAAAGTTTGATTTTCTTTTTTCCCATTGTGGGCTCACTCACTGTTCACTACCACCGTGTTGGGGGAACCGGAAAACAATTATACCAAGAATCAACCCAATTCAGGATCGACAACTTCCCCGAAACTAAACCGACCAAAATCAACTTAACCCCGATAACAGCCAACAATATATTCCGCAATACAATTTCACGGTATTTAAATATGATGTCGAAATGATAAGGAAACAAAACATCAATATTTTATGTGGAAAACTCAACGAGGGAAAAACCATGGACATCCCAAAGACTTCCACTAATCACGAAGAATAGTAGTATACACAATATGTTCTTCTCTAATCTTACACTAGAGGCTCAACATTAATAATACAACAGTATTTTTATCGCCAAGAAAGTGAATTAACACAAATGAAGAAGAAAATGCTAATAATGATTGTAGAATTTGGAGAAGAATATCAACGAACGAAACCGATCAACTCGTAGCCCTCGGTGATCTCACGAATAACGTATTGAAATTTGAGCCAATTCCGCTAACATTTGGCCTTCGAATCAGGACCACAAAGCCGCGCCCCATTTTGTTTCTTCTCCCCTACTCTTTCGGTGTGCCGTCACTCTCACTTTTTCTCTCTCTCTCTCTCTCTTCTCGCTCATCACTTGCACGAAGCCTCTCTCTTTCTTTTCTTTTTGCCTTTTCACTTTTTCCCTCTTTTTGTTCTAGTATCACCTGTCAGTTGGGCCCCAAATATGAGGCGGGACCCATATCTGGTAAAGATTTGTTCGTTCTCCTCGACCAAGAAATTTCATTAGAGTCTGAAAGAAGACCTTTTGGCAAAAGCTGCGGCAAAGCATCGAACCCTCGAGACTTTCTCGAATGGCTAAGTAATGCCGAGAAGTTCTTCCCACCGGAAAGAACCATCCGAGGTGTGCGAAGATTTCGAGCTGTCGCGCGTGTATCGGGATGTACTTTCCGGTACAAGCCCACGAAATCCATTCCATCACCAGATAATCACCCGTGGACTGCCGACTGGCATTCTCTTGCGTTGTTCTCTTCACTCACACAATCACATTGGACAATAATAATAAGAGGGGTGATCTTCTTGAGACAAATACCTAATCTCGTCGCGAATTGCAGAAGAAACGCGCGAGGACAGTTGATGCGTCGCATCGTCAGGTATTAAGATTGTCGCTCTAATATTTACACCATGAACAAAAGTAATTTAATCATACCATCATAGGCCATCAGTTCACTGACCATTTGCAAACTGTGGAACTACACACCCTCCCTCCCCTGTACAGCTCATTTTTTGGGGTGACCCAGTTCTCCAATTCTCAAACTCTTGGGCCTTAGAATTCATCAAATTCAGTAACCTATTGGGCTAATATTTGCCCAAAGTCTTAGGCCCGAACAACGCTCGGAGCTCGCGATACCTTCGGACGTCGAAGTCGTGGGCCTCGAAGAGCTTCCGTTGCTTCGTCTCGAACCGGCGCCTGAAGAAACCTTCGAAGGATGGCTCGCGGGACGTCCTGAGGAAGAAGGCGTACGCGGCGGCGAAGTGGAGAGACGCGGCGAAGAAGCAAATGGGCTCCATCACGTCCCAGCTCAGCTCCCAGAACGTGAGCCTCATGAACGCGATGGTCTGGACCGTCGTCAAGCCCAGCCCGCAGTAGAGCTCGGCCCGGACCTGTCCCCGGGCCTTCGCGTCGATCGCCGCCTTTTGGGTCTCCATCCGCCGCAGCTCCTCTCGCCTCGGGTCGTTCGGGACGGGTATGGATCGGGAGATCAGGCTCTCCATAGACTTGGCCACCTGCGCAAGATCGGAATTCATCGGAAAAAGTTCAGGGCGGATGCATAAGATCAACATAAGATTGAGGAAGCATGAGAAGAAAAAAATTTGTATAACCTTAGTTCAATATTTGCCTGGACTTACCTGTTCAGGGCTTAGAAGAACCACGCTCCCGAAGACGATGACGTTCCCAGACTCGTCCATCGTCTTCGCCACCTCCATCCCTCGACCTTCCTCCCCGCACTCCTCCACGCAGATCCTCAGGAACTCGCCGTACGAAATCGAGCTCTCGGAGACCGCCCTCAGCTTCGCCTTCACCTTCTCCACCTGATAAAGCCTCAGGATCTTCCTCGCGTCCCGAACGGTCAGCCCGTGCGCCTCGCCCCTGGCCGCCGACAAGGACGGCGGCGAGAGCCCGTCGGGCAGGCGGCGATCTGCGGCGAGGCCGTCGCCTCGGAGCTGCTCCCTCAGCCTGTCGCCGGTGGGGAGGGATAGGAGCTCCGGCAGCGCTCCGGCGGACTGGTTCAGCGCCCGCCGGAGAATTCCTCCGCCGGCGGATTCCGGGGAGGTCAGGAGCTCGCGGCGGAAGCCGGTTTTGGCGGGAACTGGGGAGGTCGGGGCCCGAACCGAGGGGAAGGGGGCCGGAGAGTTCTCCCGGGTCACCGCCGGCGAGGCGGCTCTGTAACCGTCGAAGAAGCGCTTAGCTAGCGCACTCCGAACAGCCATTGAGAGTGGGGAGAGAGGTAGAGATAGGGCTTCAAAGCTTATGTCTGAAGTATAAGGCCTGCGAGAGAATCTGAAGGCAGGGTGCCATTTATAGGGGTCCATGGGTGCAGGAGCAGTGATGATTCCTTTTTCAATTTTGTTGTTCTTTTCTCTCTCCTTTTTCTTTTTTTTTTACTCTTTTTTTTTTTAATCTCTTAATCAACTCAGCACAAAATTACAAAGAAAACAATAATGCGCCTATCGATCGGCAAATTGGGCCTTTCAATCATGCGCTTGGATATTGCCTATTTTTTTTTGGCCAAAAAAGAAATGCAATTGATTTGTTTTAATTGATTTTAAGGTGACTGTAACTTGATATGATAGATAAAATGAATGCCAACTTGATGAATGTTTTGGGTCAAATATTTCCTCACTAACTTAGATAAGTAGGGTTCTCCCAATGTTGTTTTTTTTTTTTCAATTTTATTAACTTCGTTTAATATAATAAGTATAATTATGTTGAATCGATGGCATTAAGAATGATCGTAAACTGAAGGTTATCTATTCAAATCTCATCGACTACGTGACGAAGACTTGAAATCCGCTTTGGGTTTGGCCCCATGCGAAGATTATAAGAGATGAACTTAATTAAATTCATGGAGCTTGAGAGGTGTTTAATGGGCTTTCAGGTAGACAAAACTCGCGCTAATACCCCGTGCTAGATTTCAATTCTTTCATGACAATAATTTGACATCCCTCTCGCTTGCAAGCCGGATGAAGAAGCATTTAGAACATGTTGTTAAGCGATGTGAGACAATACTTCAATATTATTAAAAAAAAAAAACAATGTACAGTCAATTACCATACTTACGCAGTCTCTTGAGGTATTCAAGAGTACATACCCGTGTCTCTTCGGCATGTCTGGGACGGAGGGATTGCCAGACTCTATGAAGATCAGTCGTGTGTTCAGAGCCCAGACGCTCTTTTAATATAAAACAGAAACAAACGAAAGTCCATTTCCCACGCAACTTGTCGGAGGTGGAAGCGGCACTCGATTGGCGTATTGTAACGTGCGTTTCCCGGTTCAAGGAAGCGTTTTTCAATCAAGAAATTGATGGGCTTTTTCAAGATCGCTCAGTTGGCAAATGACTCACGAGTGTTGCAAACTTCGCCGACCTCTTGCCAAAGATCAGACGGGGTCTACTGGGACGTTGCGGTACAGATTGCATCTGAAATACGTTTGGTCGCATCTATAAAGGAGATGGTACCGACAGCGTCGCTGTCTTGATTGTACATGTAAGAGTTTGAGAACAACCACGATGGGCAATTTCATAGGATTCAGGCATTACCCTTTTCAGGCCATGATTGATTCTGCAATTAAATTAGAGAGAGCAATTGTTTAGTCCAAACCCGTAAAGTTTGTCTCGCCTTCTTTACTTTTTCTGGAGGAGCGATGCGTAAAGGACCACGATACAAAATGTCCGAATCGATTGGGTAACCTAATCTTATTAGGCCAATGCATATTTGTTTCGTTTTATAGTTATCGGTGCCCGTTTTAGGTATTGTGTCGTCACGATGGTCGGGCACTTACCCGTATCTCACCGGGGCCGAGTTGGATTGGTTCTTATCATTCTGAACAAATTGAAATTACGAGATATGTGCATTTGAAATCCTAATGCTTATTACGAAACTACAACTGAGTCCTAAAACTTTCGAGAAGAGCAATCAGGTCATAAAACTTATCAAGTTGGTGGAGTCAAGTCGTAAAACTTGTTAGCATTTTCCGCTTGTCAAGTTGGTTGGAGTTAATGGAATGACTTGATTGCATCAACTTGACAAATTTTAGGACCTAATCGCACTTTTTGAAAGTTTTATGATTCAATTGCACTTTCATTATAAATTTTAGGACTTTCAGTATACTTATTCTTTGAAATTACTATGGTTGCGGAAATCGTGGCAATCTTTGTTTCTCCTTTCTTTTGACAATTTGGGGAGCGTTCACCACTTTAATGGTCGCCAGGTCGGTGGGTTTTGTTGGGAACTTTTTGGGATGGGCCGTTTTTGCTTGCATGTCATCCTAGAGTCGCACTACTTCTCTGCATGCTGGCCTTGTGTCTCTTGCAAGACCGTTTCCGTCAAAGCTTTTGTCCCATAGCTCTCACACAACAAACAGTTCATGAGAAGCAAACTTTGAAGCCGGCCAAAAAATAATAATGCTTCCAATTCTTTGGCCAGTTTAAATTGCGGAGAAATTATGAATGTACTAAGACTTTTCCAAGCGTTTCATTTCCTTAAGCAGTGTCCTGTATGATCAATGGTCTCGTCTAGGTGATCCGATTCGAATATCGAGTCTAAAAGTCCTTGCAGTCAGTACCATCCATGATTTGGAAAATACTAAATTGTCTTTGCGAGAAGTACAACTTCCCATATTAGCCCATTAATTTGCACTTTAGTGTCTGGCAAGCTTAAGCAAGCTTGGCCAGGTCCCTATGCCCGTGCATCCGTGATTGGGCTCTAATTGGTGCGGCATGTACTTATTGAGAGATTTAGTATGTTGAGGCTCCGTTTGTTTCGCGAAAAATGAGTGATTTGGAAAATGTTTTTCTAAAAATAATCGCTTGTATCACTTAAAATAATTAGTCAATGAAAAATACTTTGTTACCAATAACAATTTATATCTAAACATTTTCGTAAACGATGAAAATATTTTTCGTTAATTTATTTTTGTAAGCGACATCTTCTTTTATACTGAACATTTAACCCTATGAAGTATAGTAGGTGCTCTATCCATTGAATCCGATATTGCTTCCTTGATCTAAATTAGCTCTAAAAAGGAATATAGTCATCCCTACCGAAATACTCTCATCGGACAACATGAAACTATAATGTCACGTGAAATTTCGTAACGATTTTGTCAATCATCCTTGGGAGTTAATCTAATTAGGCTGGTCAACTGAAGTATAACGTCGCATTTTGATTGCTCTCGTGCCTTTTTAAGGCACTCGGGAGTTGAGAAATCATATCTTGTCACGTCGAAAGCTTGAGGGTGCAAATTAGAGGACCTTGATCTGCAAACAATGTACGAACCCCCATCATCCTTTTAGCAAATAACTTGTATATATGCTTTATATAAACGTGCATTTTATCCCCCTTCATGAATTTTGAAGAGAATTTTCACACGCAATTGTCTGGTGACCAAATCCGGAATGTGAGGAGAGTTCGTAACGTACTTCAATTTAAGACTGCTAAAGCTACTAGTCATAAAAAAAAAAAAGGTAACAAAATGCTATCAGCTTTTTGAGAAAAAGGAGATTTATCAATGTATGATTTCACTTTCTTGATTGACCGAGTGCCACATGCTATATTGAAACGTTTAGTTGCATTACTAGAATGTGGTTGTAATACAATTGCTATTGGGAGAATTACGCAAACAGTCCATGAATTTTGGCTCAATATATAATGTGGTCTCTGAACTTTTAATTTGTCAAATGTGGCTCTTGGACTTTTGGTAAATGTTCAATGTAGTCCCTAAATTATATGAAAATGTTCAAGGATTCAGGGACTAAACTGAACTTGTACTTAAAGTTCAGGGGCGATATTGAACAAATTAAAAGTTCATGGACCACATTGAACATTAGACTAAAATTCAGGGACTATATTGAATAAATTAAAAGTTTAGGGACCACATTGCACATTAGGCCAAAGTTCATGGACTGTTTGTGTCATTATCTTATTGTTATTTGATTGTAATTTTTTTTTCTTTTTTTTTGCCAGAGACAAAAATTCAATATAGGGTAACAGATATTTGCGTTAAGTAAATTGATCAAGCAAGAGTACATTTGGGTTGGTACAGCATAGATGATACGAGATGGGAAGGCAATCCGCATCAACACGAATGATGATGGAAATCGAAGAGGATTAATGTAGAAAGAGGCGTCTGTTTGCGAAATGCAATGCATAGTGTATGGTAAAATATAAAGGTTGATGAAATTCGTAGAGGAATCATGTGAAGAAAGAGGTGTCTGGTCGCGCAATGCAGCTAATGGCATGCCACAAATTTATAACTAAATGTCATTTTGAATAACTAAAAGTGGAAAAGCACCTTCCCCTTTTTACAATAGTGTATTAGCCACCAATCGATGGATTATTACCATAACTCATATGGTATGTGACATCTAGAATCTTTTATATTCAATAATGATATTTAGGATGTAAAGTTAAGTATTAATTAGTTGGCAATTTTAGATGGCGTGTATGGAATATCGGGTGAGTCGCTAAAATTGTAACATGCAGAAGGGTTCGAAGGGTGATTTTTTTGCGACCGTAGTCGCTAGGAATACGATGCATAGATGTCGACATGTACGTTGTTTGTGTAGAACAACGATGATAGTATCTCTTGACAGGGACGGATATGCTCCGAAATATGTATTAAATAATTTTCAAGTTTTAAAAATTTTCCGAGTTGAGATTTTCCTAGCATCCGTTATCTTTCACTAATAATTTTAGTAGGTTCAAAATATTTTTTTGATTAACCAATATTTAGAACGGACATTCGTTTCCTTGTTTATTTACCGGAGTACAAAATGTCTACTTTGGAACCAAATGATTATGCCACTCGTAGCTTATCTACTTGAGCACCTCTCTTCATATTCCACCAAGTATTTTAACTCGCATGCTCTTTATTTGTGACATTGAACTAAGTCTAACAAATGATATCATGAATTACATCACCTTTTTTTACTCTAGCCCATTAATGCTCTTGGTAAGCTTGAGTTAACATTCATGCATCAAATATCTCCTTTTAGTTACTCACATTAAGCCACTTGTCACTTTTGGATTGGAACATTTATCTCTCTTTTGCACATATTGTTTTTAACCTAAGGTAATCATGACCTTTAATCTTGGTTATTTGTTCTTATCTCTTGGTAACTTATAAAATATTTTCATCAAGAAAATCAAATGTGACCATGTGTACTTGATCACATCTCCTCCAATTTCCACCACATGTTTTTAATTGAAGGTGATCGTTATTTTAACATTGGTTAATCAATCTTGGATTAATATTACGAAA